CAATCCCTTTTGGGTTGACTTTTGCCCACGAGGGGATGGGTCACTTCAGGTGTTTGATTTAGAAGTTCTATTCTTTGTGTTCTGTATTGTATATTCACTGTATTAAAGTCCCTTTTCATTAAAGTTTTATGTTTTGTCTTGTTGCCGCGGATGGCAGAACCCACTTAGAGCAGGCAGGTTTGGGGGGCTTTAGGGGTGCCCCTCTCCCCCTGTCCTGGAACAGATTTGGGGTGTCCTATAACAGATTTTGCCCTATAACAGTGCCACCAGGGAAGGCCCTAGATAGACTTATTAATTATACGGTTCCTTTTCCTTTCCTGACAATAAAGTAATTACATAAATATCATTTAATGTCAAAGCTCCCTCAGTACTATGGGAACACGCAGTGGTGACAGCAGATGTCTGGTGCTGTCTCTTTCACGTCCTTTGCTCTTCCCCAAGGAGTCATCTTACATAACAACAGCTGGCCCTCTGTTTCCGTAATTACTTTGTTCCTCAATGAAAAAAAAAAAACACATTTAAATGACAAATTGTCTGAATGAATAAGAATACAAGAGAAAACAATCTTCTCGATCTAAGCCCCAGCACAGTTTTCATGAGGACTGCGGGGATGGAACCAGATTCTGGGAAAACTGAAAATCAAATATGAGGCTGTATTTCTCACACTAGTATTACAGTATTATTAACTGAGTCAAAGCCTTACAGAAGGCAAAGAAGGCCACAATAGTAGAAAAGTACATGTACCGGAGTCATGACAAATACTCCCCACGCACTGACATGCCTCTGAGTGCACAGCTCACGCCAGCAGGACAGAAGGCAGAGGAGGGAACCAGTGTAACTCAGGGAGAGGCTCAAGCCCCCTTACACATGATGGAGACAGCTGAGCTGTGAAAAGGATGAGCACTGGCTACTGGCAACAAGAAGGTTTGAGCGTGGGGGTGCATGAAGTGAGTCAGAGAAGAAATACAGCCACAGGGTGAATTCATTCCTATGTAAAAAGTGGAGAAACAAAACATAAGGGCCCCCACAATGACACCAGAGCAAGTTCTAGAAAAATGACCACAGAATTGCGGGTCTGCAGGGAGAGGGAGAGTGGCTGTGGGTACAGAGGTGGGAGGAGGCCAGAGACGATGACGAGGCCCCTGAGCACACTGGTGCTGGTGTGGTGTTCACAGACATCTGAGGACTTTAGGGAGTGACCAAGTGCAGAGATTTACTGAGGGACTGGATAAAGGCAGTAATAATTAGGCCTTGCATCCAAGGGTGATAAAGTGGTAATAAACTGGGTCTTGCATCCAATTAACCAGGCCTTATATTCGGAGTGGGGCTAGAAAAAGGTGATTAATGAACTGGGTCTTACAACAAGGGACACAGCGATGGGTCACCCCTTTGGAATCTGAGCTTAGAATCTATATGAGACCCTTCCCTCCATGAGGCTGGCAGTAGCTGCGGAACCCACTCTAGGGGCTCTGTCTCAGCTGCTGTCTGAGAGCAATAAACTCTGCTTGCTCAGCCTTTCGGTCTTCCGCCTTTCTTTCTTGCTGCTGGTCACAGAAGTTGGGACAAAACAGAACCTTGCCCGGGAGCTCCCCAATCCAAGCTCCTTTGCTGGCCACCCTGAGAGCCCAGGCTCTTGTTCTGTCCCTGCTCTGTGCACTTAGCTGTAACACGGCCCTGCTCCTTTCAGTGGGCAGCAGTAACCCGCATTCCTGGGTGCAGCTAGAGCCTGAGTCTCTTCTCTGCTGTGTCAATGCGCTTCTGATGCAAAGTGAGAATTGTTTCAGTTTTACTCCTACACAGCAGTGTTAAAGAGAATAGACTGAATCAACATTTCCCTTCTGGTTGGAAAGACATTATCTCTGAGGTTTTAAATTCTACCGTCAGCTTTTACCATTAGAACACAAGCATTTTCCAGTTATTAAAAACCCCTGAATTAACTATTTAATGACTACATTCCAGGCATTACCTATTTAACATCCCCCGGGGTCATCTAAATGGTCTCCAGCCAGTTTTTACTATAAAGGGCTGGGGAAGGTTTGTATGTGCATTTCAAAGCATTTCCTTAAGTCAGTTTAAAAAAAATAGAATCGCATCTTCCATTTAAAGTAAAATAAAAATATTTTAACTTCGGCAGGGCGGTATGAATTCATTTCCTAGGATGGGTGCGAGAGCGTGGTTCATCTAGCCTTTGCTAACGTCATTCTCCCCGGTCCCTTCGCAGCTTTGACTCGAACTCCCCTTTCTCCTCTGCTGGGTCGCCCCACCCTCACCTCCCCTGCGGGATTTGTCATCTTCATCCCCCACCTTGCGGGACCCTCCACTCTGTCCTCCTCCACACAAGCCCCCTTTCAGCGTGGGGCTCCGCCGTCAGGGCCCTTTCAGGTCCAGGCGCTTCCACCACTTTGCTCCTACCTGTCCCAACCAGGTGCCCTCCGCGTTTTTTCTGCACTTTGGCCCTCAGGCACTTCAGCTCCCCTGGGATTCAGTTGCTCCAGCGTTTCCTCCACCAGCGGCCCCGCCCCTTATTATTCCGTGCTTGATGCTTAGTCCCGCCCCTTATTATTCCGTG